GGGAATTGAACCCTGGTCTCCAGAGTCATAGTCCAGCATTCAAATCACTATGTCACGCTGGCCGTTTTGAAAATCATTAAATTATGTTTAAAATGCTTTAGAAGTTTCAAAACATGTAAAGACATAATAAAAAGGAGAAAAGCTTAACACAGGGATCCCAAAACTACGGCCCGTGGGCCGAACCCGGCCCGTCGAGGCCTTTCAACCGGCCCACCGCTGGTCCTGCCGCCGCCGCGTACACGACTCCGGGCGCCATTTTGGAACACAAAACGGCACCGGAGTAGTGTGCATGCACACGCGATGCCGTGCGCCGTTTTGTGTTCCAAAATGGCGGCTGGTGTTGTGTGCATGCGCGTGCGTGCGACGCCGGGCGCATGCGCACGACTCCAGGCACCATTTGGGAACACAAAATGGCACCCGAGCCGTGCGCATGTGCGTGCGCACCTCCATCCGGCCCACCGAAGATCTGGGGGACAGCAAACCGGCCGCCGGATAAAAAAGTGTGGGGACCCCTGCTCTTTGCCATCCAGAGAAAAGATAGCAGAGAAGGGGAGCAATGGAGCTTCCAGAAGGCTATCTTCTGAACCTTTTGAAGAACAGACGGCATTGGATGGCTGCGGACTCTCCTTCTTTAAACACAGGTTCGATGGGCATCTTTCAGGAATGATTTAGTTGTGGATTCCTGCATGGCAAGACTGAATAGCTCTTGGGATTCCCTCCAAGTCTATGAAAATGGTTTGAGGGTCCCTTTGCACTGTTCAGCATTTTGAAAAACAGAAGAAAACACCCAGCTTTGAAAAAACAGAAGTGAAAATCTGGCTATTTGCAATTCTCCCCCGTAGGCAATTTTGACAATGACCAAACCAACCCTCCTTCCGCCACTCTCTGTTTCTCTATTTATTAACACAGACGACCCCACAGGCAAGCCATTATTCCTATTACTTATTGAATCATGCATGCATATGCTTTCTATCATCATCATCATCATCATTATTATTATTATTATTATTATTATTATTATTATTTGCTTTCTTGTCTCCAAACCCATCAGGATTTCTTGACACTGACTGGGCATAAGTTTACATCCATGTGGATTTGCTTTTGCTGTTGTTGTTGTTGTTGTGTGCCTTCAAGTCATTTCCGATTTATGGAGATCCTAAGGCGAACCGATCACGGGGTTTTCTTGGCAAGATTGGTTCAGAGGAGGTTTGCCATTGCCTTCCCATGAGGCTGAGAGAGTGTGACTTGCCCAAGGTCACCCAGTGGGTTTTATGGCTGAACTGGGAATTGAACCCTGGTCTCCAGAGTCACAGTCCAACACTTAAAACCACTTTGCCACACTGGCTCCCAGCCATTCATTCACTTTCTTACACTTGTTGCTGTAAAACGAAGGACCAGGTTCATGGAGGGATGAAGGTCAGGGAAGGAGAGAGGATGGAGTATGTTTTGAAACGCTGGAAAGGCTGAAACAAGGAGGAAGACTCTCTAGCAAAAGCGAGGGCAGAGAGCTTGTATGGCCACCGAAGAAGTGCAATGCCCAAGTCCAATGCCCCAAGACCACTGTGCCAGACCTCATTCCTGTTTATCCAATGCCTTGCAGGAAAGCCTAAGCTCATGGTGTTGCAAAAAAAGCCTTTGCAGAAGAGAAAGTGCCGGGGAAAGGAAGGAAGGCCAGGGATGCTTCTCTTAAAAAAGGGAGAGCAAGGCTGGCTCTTCCACTCCCTCCAGGACATTGGAAGCCAAAGCATTTTTTCCCCTGCAAGGCAATTAAGTTATTTTTGGCCATATGGGGCAGGGAGCCCAGCTGCCGTACAGTATGTTTTGCTTCGGAAAACAACTTTAATCAACAGACTGACTCGTTCTGTCAGTTACAATTAAGGCCAGGTAAGTGGCAGGTGCAGCGTTCATTAACAAAATGGCAGCTTACAGGCAAGGGAGACGCAGGTACACCGGCTTAAGCCTCAGATTGGGAACGCAGACGCGTACGCCGCCTAATCCCTAGAGATGGAGAAGAGGAGGCAGCTCTCCTGATCCTGAAATCCCTTCCAGGTGCATGCTGAGCTGAGCTTTTCGTCCCGTTTCCACCCAGGTGACATCTACCTTTTGGACCAAAAAAAATAAAGAGAGAGAGAGAGAGAGAGACTAAACTATTTGCTTATTTTATTGATCTACTAGATGCACATCCTGACTTTCTTGCAAGGACGGGACTCAAGGAGCCTGGCAGGAGCCCCGAGTAAATTGCACAATGAAAACAAACAAACAAAAAAGCAAAACCAAACATTAAAACCGAATTAAATGGAAGCTGCTGTATGAAAAATTCCATTTAAGAGGAAACCACAGCATGGCACTGATTCTAAGCAACCAGTCGGTCCCCAAAATGTTCTGGTTCAGAAATGGAGGAGAGCAGGAAGAAGGGCAGCCCAGAGTCAGCACTGTGTAATTGGTTGGAGCATCAGATTACGGCTTTGGAGACCAGGGTTCGAATCCCCGTTCGGCCATGGAAATCCAATGGGTGACCTTGAGTGAGTCACACACTCTCAGCCCCAGAAAATCCCATGATAGGGTAACCATTGGTCAGAAACGACTTGAAGGCACACAACAACCATTCACAATTCAAAAAAGGATGTTGACAAGTTGGAGCGTGTCCAAAGGAGGGAGTCCAAAATGATGAAAGGTCTGGAAACCATGCCTTATGAGGAAAGACTTAGGGAGCTGGCTTATGTTTAGCCTGGAAAAAAGAAGGCTGAGAGGTGATATGATGGCCATGTTTAAATATTTGAAGGGATGTCCTGTTGAGGAGGGAACAAGCTTGTCTTCTGCTGCTCCAGAGAATAGGACACAATGGAGCAATGGATGCAAAGTACAGGAAAAGAGATTCCAGTTAAATATTAGGAAAAAATTCCTGACAGCAAGAGCTGTTTGACAGTGGAAGATGCTCCCTTGGAGTCTCTTTCTTTGGAAGTCTTTAAAGAGAGGCTGGTTGGGTATGCTTTGATTGGGAGTTCCTGCATGGCAGAACGAGGTTGGACTGGGTGGCCCTTGGGGTCTCTTCCATCTCTATGATTCTATGAACGTTAGAAATCCTTTCCAACATTTGCACTGTGTCCAGAAGCAGCCCATTGCCTAACATGTTTGCTGTCCTTTCTCCTCTCCAAGAAACAAATGCACCCCAAGCTCTGGGTTCAAATCTTGTCTGCTGCTTTAGAAAGAGCCAGCCAATTTCGACAGGCTGCCAAATAAATAAATAAAATTCTCAACAGAAACCAGCAAACATGGTGCTACTCAATGGGTTTTTAGTGATGCTCAAAAATGGAGGATATTTTGGAATTCTTCCCGGACAGAAAAGGTTGAAATGTCCTGGAAAAGGAGGATGCCCGGTCACCTTCTCCAAAACCCATCGGCCTGGTGGCCCTTCTAGGTGCATAGTACATTCAATACACAACTCCACATGCAAAATCAAGGTTGCATAGCACAAAAAGGTAGGATGGATGTTGGCCAGAGAGAGACTTCTGCCGTGCTTCGGTTTGGAGAAAAGACTTTTTAAGCGCAAAGCAGGAATCAAAAGAGCGGTGCTGCTTTGCTAACACAGGTGTGCCTCTTCTTGGCGGAACAAAATAGTTTTAAGACAATGATCCTGCCCACACTGAGATAAAAACCTTCCCTGCCATATGCTCTCTCCATCACACTTTGCCATGCGGGAATGGCTGCAACCGAAACCACGGTCTGGAATTAGCATTTAAAGAAGAGTAATCGCCTCCGAAGAGTAAGCCGCCACGCAATCCAAGAAAGAGACAAAAAAATATTAAATTAGAAACCATTCCAAATTCTTTTTTTGTGGGAGGGAAGGAGAAAGAAAACGCAGCACAGAGGCCAAAAAATGTACAACTTGTTAGGCATCGTGTGCATATAATTACCACTCGGAAAGAATCGGTGCAAATGCAAAGCTCCCCAAAAGTGCCGAAGATTATTTTGCTACAGAGGTAATACAGAAAATGTAAGGTTTTGTGGGAGGAAAGGAGGGGAATGAATAAGACCAAAGGCAAGAAGAGGGAGTTAAGAAATCAAGGACCAGGGTTCAAATCTCCACTGGGTGACCTTGGGCAAGTCACACTCTCTCAGCCTCAAGAGGAAAGCAATGGTGCCAAACCTCCCCTGAAGAAATCTGGCCAAGAAAACTCTATAATAGGTTTGCCAACAACATTTCATCTTCCCACACAGAAAGTTAAGTATCAAAGGTTTTTTTTTCCCTTCAGAGCAAGATGACAACAACTTTCACACATTTCAGGCTGAGGTTTCCTATTTTAGGACAACACTTTAATGCAAGACAAAATTGCACCAGCCTTTTTGGGGATTTTCCTCCCAGATTTTGGAAAATCTGTGTGTAGATCATGAAATAACTTAGAGATGGAAGCCTAAACATGAAATGCATGTATGTTTTGTATACACCTTATACACATAGCTTGAAGGTCATTTTATGTACAGTATTTTTAATAATGTTGTGCATGAAACAAAGTTTGCGTACACTGAACCATAAGAAACCAAAAGTGACACTACCTCAGCCACCCAAAAAGACAATTTTGGATTTTGGAATATTTCAGATTTTAGAATTCTGCATAAGGGAGACTCAATCTTTATTCTCATCCTGAGACTTTTAATCTATTTTCCCTAAATGCACAAATGAAATTCATTACTTTTATACATATTTCTCATTTAACCAAGTTCATTTTCAATTCTGAATGTGCTACGTCTCCCAATTGTGCATCACCTGCAAGTCTGAAAAATGCTCTCCAACTGGCCTATATATTATTATTATTTTATATTGCCAGTGAGGCAGATTTTAAAGATCTGAAATGACAATTGAGTTGAGCATACCCACAAAATCAAAAGTGCTTGAGTATGCTTAATGGTTTATGTCATGAGAATATTCAGGAGAATTGCCCTTTCAGTTGCCATTTAATGTCTTCCCATTTGCACACAACTCTTTTCCTCCCTCCAACCCTAATTGCTGCTAATATATATATATATATATATATATATATATATATATATATATATATATATATATATATATATCTGGCAATGGTCCATATCTCATTGTTTTACCGTGCTGCTTAAAATTTTTGCAAGTATACCATTTGCCATCATTATCACTGTTTTTGGCAATTTTGTCAAGTATTCAATGTTAATTTACTGCACTGCAAAGTAAGATGGCTAGATGTGGCAGAGGAGGTCCCTAACATTAATGTTGGCCACGTGGCTAGTAGTTTGAGCATCGGACTACAACTCTGAAGACCAGGGTTCGATTCCCAGCTCAGCCATGAAACCCACTGGGTGACCTTCAGCAAGTCACATACTCTCAACCTCAGAGGAAGGCAATAGCAAACCTCCTCTAAACAAATCTAACCAAGGAACCCCATGATAGGTTTGAATTACAGTCACCATAAGTTGGAAATGACTTGAAGGCATGCAACAACAACAACAGCATCCAAGCACACCATGAGAGAAAGGGACCGTAAAGATCTACGCCTGACAGACATCCGCCTGCCCACCCTCACCCTCCACCAATAGACCTGCCGAAGAATTATAGCAGAGTTATAACTCAGATGTAAAGATTTTTTGTTTCAAGCCACAGCTATTATTGTTTTGAAATGCCCAACCATTTTCCCCAGAGCACACAACATGTTTTTAAAACTTTGCTACGCAGTTTAAATATACAAAGCTCAAAGACGGTAACTTGGACAACAGCATCTTCAAACATCAGACAAAGATCCCATTGTCCCGGTCAGCCTTTTGGCAACTAATTCATTAAGTTTATATCCTGCCTGTCTCCCAGTGTATGATCCAAGATGGCTTACGGCATGTATTAAACCAAAATGCAGCTTAAAAACCAAATGATTGTGTTTTACATATTGATTTATTTAATCAATAAATAATAACACCCCCCAACCCCAAAGATCTTGGAACCCTTGCATTTTCGTATGGGGAAGTATGGTCTTTCAGATACTGTGGACCTAAGGAAGGCTTTATATGTCATGTCCAACACTTTAAATTA